ATCAACCTTTAACTGGTAGCCTCTGGCAGGCAGGGATCTGTGTTTTCCCGTTTCCCTTTTTATCACTGGTAGTTGGTGTCCCTTGTGGTTGATGGGGCAGAAAGTGCAGCAGGCAGTGGTGGGGTTGAGCCAGGGGTGGCGGGCAGAACCAGGGCGGGAGTTGGAAAGAGAGGGCTAAACAAGTAAGCCTTCACACGTATAAACAAAAGTAGAAAGGCTTTCGCTGAGATAATCCTTGCCCTGAATACCAGTCATCCCTTCTGCAACTCAGCTCAGATTCCGATGGAGAGCAGACCAAAGGCCCAGAGGTGCACCACATACCCAACAGGTTGGCCTTGACTAATGTTGGTGAGACCCAACATCCTGTCTAGTGAGTATCTAAAAAGGCATTATAAATAAGTGCACCAGACTCAATACCTTGCTAAAGAACAAGAGAAAGAAAGAGGTGGACATGAATTTGGTAAATCAATAGCCGCATGTGATATTTTAAAGGGAAAATAGTAACCAACAGGACTTAGAATCTGGAAAAATTGGGAGATTGCTCCCTAGCTGTGGCTTCTCCTGGAAAAGCTGGTTTTTGAAACTTGAAATAATTTCAAGCAGATTTTTTTAAACATGCATCCCAATAACAAGTTGCTAAGAGAGAAAATCCGGTATGTGCTTGGCATAAGCTATTCATAGCTCTTAGGAAATGAGAGAGCAGAGAGAGTTTGTGTTTTTGGAAGAAGCAGAAGCAGGTAGGAACCTAGGCTAAACTGCAAGTGTTTAAAACACTTTAATAGAAAACTTTCCCCTGCTTTAGAGAATGTGAATTACTGTACTATCATTCACAAATTATTCCTGTTTCAAATGTCTTTATACCTCTTCACAGGTTGGCAGAGGTAGGGAACGAAGTGTGTAAAACACACGCTAAATAGATTTATCTGTGGTAAGCTTTATACTGTATTAACTATTCCTACCTTAACCTACATTCACAACTTATTGTTCCTACCTTAACCTACATTCACAAGAGGATTCCAGAAGATAAGGTCCCTCTCTCTCTCACTCATACATGTAGACACCTACACATACCAACAAAAACACCCAAGGAGCAGCAGTACATAGCCTAGTACATCAATTGATGTTCTCTGGACTGTAGTGTGCTGTGTTTCACATGTTGCACTCTGGTTGTAGAAACCTACATTTCCATGTGAAAAAAGGATGGCCTTATGTCAGGGTAACACTGTCAGTTTCCCATATTCTGGGATTTTCTTTTCTCTAAGAAAAAAACCCTTGATTACAAAAATCGTCGAGGTGATTTTATTAGTTTTCATGCTCACCATGAGCAAGTCTGTGCAAAGTTCATGGATTTTAATTCATCATTGAAGATCAAGCCACCCCCTGAAATGCTGCCAGGGCATCAGTTATCTCAAAAGGAGGCAAGTAAGTTTAACTGCTAGGCGTTCTCTCCTTCATTTAAAACACGCTTTCCCACTCCTTCCCACTTTCAGCAAAAGAGTCTGCACTAACTCTTCTTTTTGTGTTTAGCTTTGATGGTGGCTTTACATCATGCTACATGTAACCCAGGGAGGAGTGGAGAGTAAAGGAGATTTCTTTTAACATAAGTAGCTGAACTGCGAGTACTTAGCACTCTTTAGGAGCAGTTAAATGTTAAAAGCAAGATAGAATTACATAGACTTGCCTGAGTGATGTTGTTTAAAAAAAATCTGGTTTGTGATCTCTGGAAAGAACATGGATCTCAGCTGCTTTCATTTAAATAAAAAAGGAAATGCAGTTCAAAAGCATCTGCTCTGTAGTCTCAAAAGGTTTTTATGCCCTTAATTTCCCCGAAGGGTAGAAGAGGTAACAAGTACAACCCAGGGCAGTCAATCACCAGGTGAAGCTTTTCAACTTTGGAAAGTCTGTAGTTACTTAGCGATAGAACACATGCAGTGTAGGAAAAAAAGGTCTCAAACCCGACCCCGACCCCCACAGATTATGGTAGGGCTGACAAAGACCGGTGCCTGGAAATCCAGAAAGCCCGTGGAGCCAATTCTAGGTTGGACCCACATCCACTTCCCAGGTTCCCAACTTGCCTGATGACTCTGACTAGAATCCTCTCCGCCGACGCCCTTGAGGAAAGGCAGAGCGCAAGTGATGTGAGGTGTTTCCCCCCCGGTGCTGCGCATCAAGTCTACCACTGGTGGTGGCTCCCACTTGCGCAACCGCTCTTGTGAGCAGCTACGGGATGGGCAGCCTGGAAAACTCAAACATTTCATCTGCAGATGTCCTGATGCTAACAGAAGATTGCGGGTCGGATTGTGGCCTTTGGGTTTTAGCCTCTGAAGCCGCCTAAACAAAGAAACTGTGGTTCTGGGCAATTGTATGTTGATTTACATCAGAAATATAATTCTCATTTGAATTGCATGGTTCTGACCAGTGTGGTTTTGATTATACACTGATATATATTTTTTAAAGTAACAAACAAATATGTCAATGAATCAATAAATATTCAGTAAATAAATATTCAGTTAAATACTGCGCTGTTGTTCGTGTCCAGGAAGTGGCTTGAGAAAGATGGGCTTCTGAGACGTACTGAGGCCCCTGTTGTTGTCAGTGGGGCGGCTCTCACTGCAACAGCAGCAGCCCAGCCTGACCCTCTCTCTGTGGCCATTCTGGGAGGCTGACATGGGTTGGGGAGGGTCACTGTTAATACTGTAAAGCCATCTGTTCTCTCTCTCTCTCTGTGAGTGAGTGAGTGAGTGAGTGAGTGAGTGAATCAACTGTTTCTGCTTTGTAGTTACGTTTTGGGGGGGGCATAAGAGTTATATGTAGATTTTGAATGGCAGATTTAGAACTATATGGGGGTGTTTCTGGTGCCCTAATCCCAGTGTTGTTGAAGGGAAAATTGCATATCACTTCTATGGTGTTTGTTTTTAAATTTTGTATATTGTATCTGCAAGGCGCTTTGGGATATTTTTGTTTTGTTTTAAAAGTTGTTATTTGGTTAAGTGCTTGTGGACTATATCACTTTGGTCTGAAGAATCAGTCCAGGAAATCTTTTTATTATATATTCTCTTCCCACTCCACCCCAGCTCTCTGCCTATATGTCATGAGAACTGATATGCAATTAATCAATGCGTGGAAAAAAAACAAAGAGGAAATCAACCTCCCTATATATTGCATGCAAACATGCCAGGGTAAAGGAAAATTCTAACTTGGTGTGCTAGTAGTTGACAATGTATAAGATATATCTTCATCTCTAGTCCACAGGGAAGGATTCAGTCTTGAAATTTTTTCATTGTGATAAAGTCCAGAAATATTTTTAACATGTGATGAACCCATTGTCTAGAATATCTCATGCTCATGGCAGTTGTGCTTAGCAGTGAAGGACAGCTGGTCAGGGTAATGCTTGTTGCTGTGATTATCCAGAGCATTTTTATCCCGCCCTTTGGGCAAACATGTTCTTGCAATGACTTGCAAAGGGAATTACCATGACTGACAAGCTTACAATATAAATGACATACAAGGACTAAGAAGAGATGAAGGCAGAGGGGGAAAAAAACAATGTTCAGGTTTCAGTTCTTATACGGAATGGCTAGATGGAAATGGTTGAGCTAGGTTGTTGCCAGGAGAAAGCTGAGGGAATGCCAGTGGTAGCTTGTCTGAACAAAGGACCAAGGCTTTTCCTGCAGGAAAACTGTTGCTGTAGTTCATAAGAGTACGGGCATGCCAAGTCCAAGAACCAGTATAGCATAGTGGTTAGAATGCTGGTCTAGGACTTAGGAAATCCAGAGTTCAAAACCCCACTCAGCCAGGAAGCTCAACTGGGTGACCTTGGAATAGTCATCCTCCCTCTGAGTCTGACCAACTGTGAGGATAGAAGTCGGAAGGAGGGGAACTATCTGTGCTAATGGGTTTACTGGCAGAAAGGTGGGAAGCAACCTTAAGAAAGCCAGTGTGGTGTAGTGAAGAGCCGGTCAAACTAGGAGTCAGGAGACCTGGGTTCCAATCCTGGCTCAGCCATGGAAAACCATTGAAGGTAAAACCACTTCTTAAATATCTCACATACCTTTGAAATCATATTTGGGTCACAATAAGTTGAAAGCTGCTTTATAGCCCAGAACAGCAACAGTTGGAACTCACTAGCAAAGTCCTTTTCCTAGGCTGGGTTGCTTTATTATTTTTAAATTTTATTGAAAACATTTTTTTTAACTTTGCCTTTCTCCTTAAAGAGGACCCAAGGTAGCCTACATCATTGAAAAGCATCATTTAACAGCTACGTAAGAACAATAGGTACACAAATACAGTGGTGCCTCGCTTAACGATTGCCTCGTTAAATGACAAAACCGCTTCATGATGACGTTTTTGCAATCGCTTTTGCGATCGCAAAACAATGGTCTAAATAGTTTTTTTTCTTCACTTTGCTATGATTGGTTCCCTGCTTCTGGAACCGATTCTTCGCAAAACAATGTTTTTCTAACAGCTGATTGGTGGTTTCAAAATGGCCGCCGGGTAATTAAAATGGCTCCCCGCTGTGTTTAGGGACGGATTCCCCACTTTACAGGCAGCAAAAATGGCCGCCCCTATGGAGGATCTTCGCTGGACGGTGAGTTTTCAGCCCATTGGAACGCATTGAACCGGTTTCAATGCATTTCAATGGGCTTTTTATTTTCGCATGACAATGTTTTCGTAAGACAGTGATTTTTGCGGAACAAATTAACATCGTCTTGCGAGGCACCACTGTACTAAAAAGGAGCACACAAATATCATACTAAGAAACAGTAAATACTAAAGACACATTTTAAAGCAACAAGGCACAACACTCCATTTAAGAACTCTTCTCAGGCAGCCGGTCACTGAGGGAAAGCTTGCCTGAAGGACAAGGACTGTGTTTGCTTGCGGAAGGACAGTAAGGATTATTTTTGTCTTGTGGAGAAAAATTGAATTTGCAGTCAATGAGTTCAGTTTTGGTATCGATAGCTTCACTTTGTTTTCCCTTTGTTTTTTTATTTTCCTAGGTCCACTCAGGGGAAGGTTGGTGAGTGCCATGCTTCTGCATCAGCCCAGAACAGCAACAGACACTGACTGAGAGAAGCTCAGGGCACCCTCTCTCCCGTTTTTCTGTTGCCATCTTGGAATAAGACCAGCGCCATCATCTCGGGGGACAAGGGTGGGAGGGGAAAGAGCCAAGATCCAGGATGGAGAATCTCAGCTTTCCACCATGGCTCAGAGAAGGGCCACGTACAGAACGTGGCAGAGATCCGAAGGAGGCGTGGACTGCTTTGCTTGCAACTAGCTGGCCTCAAAATGTCAATATAGAACTCTTTTTGAGGAGCTAATTTATTTTTGATTAGCAGGTTTTTGGGGTACTCCCCTGCCCCGTGATTATTATTTTTGTGGCAGGTTTCCATTTTCTGAAAGTTTGTCTGAACCCTTTCATGTTCTAAGGGAACTGAGCTCACTATGGCTTCTCATGGCCAAATCTGCAGCAAAGTCCCAACCCTACAAGAGCTCTCAGATAATATAGGGATTTCCTTCTCCCATTATGTCTTCTCAATAAGAAAGGGCATGAGTTTGGAAAGGCAGTAGGGCTTTGGGGAGAGAATGTTTCCAGACCATGTGTGGGTAAGATTTGATCAAGTATGAACCAAATTAAAAACATGGGCTCACTGTTCCTGTCTCCTCTTTTAAATACAATAGCAATAGATCTATAGTCACGCCTACTGCAGGAGGTGTTTGATCTCAACAATTGGACAGGGAGACTCAGGCCCTGGGCTGAATCCAATCTTTCTGTGGGGTCTCATTTCTGCCTTCCAGGGTTTTCCAAATTCTCATGCATCTTCCCCTTGATAACATCATTTGCCAGGCTCCCTTTCTTTTTCAATAGATTCCCCCACTCCAATTATGAAAGGCTGACATGGTAACACTTGGGAGTATAAACAATTAATCAAAATACAGGGTGAAATCCAGTAGCACACAGTTGGACCATGTAAGGCAGATGATGTCATCAGCCCTGGCCATTTTTCATGAACTACAAGTTTCTGATTCCCTCCCCCCACTAAAGGTTCTGAGGCTCTCTTGGGAGTTCCCTTGCACCCTGGGGGACTGTTAATTCATGGAAAATAGCCATGGCTGATGACGTCATCAGCTTTATGTGGTGTAACTTTTATGCTATTGGATTTCAGCCAACAGTCCCATTAGTAGTTGCAAGATGTAGTAATATCATAGAATATAAACTTTACTACTGTTGTAAAGGTAGGACATAAAGACGGTGGGTAAAAGGAATAGAGGCTGGAGCCACTGAGGATCCCAAGGTCATACTGGTGGGCTAAAACATTTCTAATAGCTGTGTGCAAAAAGGTCATAGCAAGTGAGGTTCACAGGAGATGGCTCACATGCTGGAGAAAATGTTATGAAAACCTGCATCCCATCAAGACCACTTCTTCGTTCCACTGGTGTTCCATGTGCTACTGGTTGAGAACCTCTGGTCCAGGATATGACGCTTTTCCCTCCTACAACATGGTGTGGGCTGAGATACCAAGTAATGTAACATGGATATATCAGAAGCACAGACAGACAAGCAAGTTTAAGAAGTCATTTCCTTCTGTCAAGGGAAGCATTAGTTCTGTTAGGATTTGGATATGTGTTTCTGATGGTAAAGATTTTTTTTAAGACTGAATTCTGAGCACCCTCACAAAAACTACAATTCCCAGGATTCTTTTAGTGAGGGGAACCACAGGTGTTAACGTGAGTCCTATTCAGGCATTAAAGAATCTGGTGGTCTGAACAAGTTTAGAGAAAACCACCTAGTCCTACTCCCTCCGCCCCCCATTATTACTTTCTTCTTGCGCCTCTACTGAGGCTGAAAATGAGATGTTTCTACTTACGTGGTCATCAGTTTCCAGGGTTCTTGCTCAAGCAGAGTCTTCAACTGAGCTGGTGATTTTTCTTTTCAGACTTGGTGTTGATTGTGGGAAGAAAAGGACAATGGAGAGGTGTGCCAGGTGGTCCCCTCTAAGCTTGCTCAAACCACTGGATTATGTAATGGCTGAACAGAACTAAAGTATAAAGCAGGTGATTCTAGCCAAAGATACCAGACCTCCCATGAGAGATCAAAGCTCGGTGGTTATAACACTTGTGTCTTTGCCTCTAGAGCAGTGGTCCCCAACCTTGGGTCCCCAGATGTTCTCGGACTAAAATCCCCAGAAGCCTTCACCCCTAGCTGTGCCGGCCAGGCTATCTGGGCGATGCAGTCCAAGAACATCTGGGAACCCAAGATTGGGAACCACTGCTCTAGACGACCCGAGGTTGAGTTTGGGGCCTCTCTGGTTGATGGGATCATCAAGTCAATGATGGGATGAGGAACTTTTCTGCCCAAAAGCCACCATCAGGCGCAGTAGTTAAAACTAGCTGGACAAATAGTCATAGGCAGTAAAATGGAGCTTCCTATAATCCTTTGCTTTTTTGGCATAATTTGATTACCCTACTGTAACAGATCATCTTCTCATAATGTAAGATGGTTTAGGCTGACAAAAGAGCATGTATTCAATAAATGTAACATGCTTGTTATTCGGATTTTTTAAAAAACCAACAAACCTAAGTTCTTGTCTGGTTTATAAACTTTGTAACCTACCCACAGAATTATGAACTATAAAGATACAAAATGAGGAACAGAGCAGGGACTGGAATAGATACAGTGTTACCTCAGTTTACGAATGCCTCGGTTAATGCAATTTTTGGTTTACGAATGAAAATCCATTGAAAATAATGCCTTGGTTTACGATTTTTTTCCACAATACGAAGCAAGTTTGCATTGCCTCTGGGAGGTTTATAACACTGCCCCCATGCATGCATTCCTATGGGAAACCGTGTTTCAGTTTGCAAATTTTTTGCATTATGAAACATCCCCGGAGAACGCATTAAATTCATAAACTGATTATGAAACATCCCGGGAGAATGCATTAAATTCATAAACTGAGGTACAATTGTACAATTAAGAGCAAAAAATCCAAAAAATCCAATTGTACAATTAAGAGCAAAAAATCCAAACTGTGCTTAAAGCTCTCTCTGCATGGTTTACACTTTAATTATGCAGGCTACACATTCCCCACCCCCACCCCGTGAGCTGTGCTCTCAATTTACCAACCTCAGGTGGTCAACCTCAGGTGGAATGTTGAGTGAACCTCGAGCCGACTACCTGGGATACAAACCCCAGGTCATGAGTAGAGTTTTGGCTGCCAACCTCAGGTGGAAGGTTGAGTGAACCTTGAGGCGACTATCTGGGATAGAACCCTAGGTCATGAGTAGAGTTTTGGCTGCAGTATTGCAGTTTAATCACTGCACCCCAAGGCATCAGAAGGATGGTTGCCTTTCCCAAACAGCATGGGTTGGGAAAGTGTTGTTGCCCTTCAGATATTACTGGTGTGGAGCTTTCATGATCTTTCACTAGTGACAATACTAGTGAGGACTGATGAGAGTTGTAGTCCACCCAACACCAGGAAGTGGTAGCACTTTGGCCACCCCGTGACATATGGCAGCAGTTTCCAACCTTGGGGCCCCAGATGTTCTTGGACTACAGTTCCCAGAAATCCTGGCCAGCACAGCCAGTGGTGAAGGCTTCTGGGGATTTTAGTCTGAGAACATCCAGGGACCCGAGGTTGGAAACCACTGATTTATGAAAATCAGCAAGTGTAGGCAAATCTCTCCACTGGCAAAGAAGGAACGATTCTGATCAGCAGTTATTGGCTGAAATCCAGTTGGCGCAACTGTAGCATGTAAATGAGGATGATGTCATCACTTAGTGATGTTAATCTTTATTTTAATTTAATCTAAAACATCCTGCCCATCCCATTCAGGTTCCAAAGCTCTCTTTTGCCCTGGGGAAGCCTTTAATATTGGAAAATCACCACCACTCCTCCTTGTCGCTGCCAGATTGGACCACCTGCCTTGATATCCTGATGTTAAAGCCCCCACCCTCAAATCCTGAGGTCCCCAAAGGTTTCCCCAGGAGAAAAGAAATCGCTGGGAAGCCTCAGAGTGGAGTCTGAGAGCAGGGGGTAATTACGAATTTTTAAATTAAAATAACAATGAAAATTGCTGGGGGATGGTGCCGTCACCATTGATCCTCGGCATAGTAGGATGGCAGCCAGCGTTTGCGAATCTGAAGGCTTTAAAAACCCAGGAGCAGTGGTGGTTAAAGGAAGAGGAACGTCAGCATTATCTTTGGGTTTCACGCTCTGTGTGGCATTGAATGAATAATAGCTATGTCCCTGAAAACCTCCCTGTTTCTGGAGGTCCAGCACAAGTTGCCAGCGGCCACGGACATGGCACCCACAGTTTGCTTGCATTTCGGCAGCAGGCTAAGGGGGCCTAGAGATCTCCTAGCCTTTCCCGATTTTATGAGACACTCTGGATTCCTTCTTAAATTATTGCAATCACAGCAATTGTTTCTGAATTTCTGTTTAGCCATAGATTGGAAAGGTGGTTTTTTGTTTTTTTTTTTTTTTTTGAGAAGACAGCTCTGAGCCACCATCTGTACTAGCTGTAGTATTCTAATAGTTGCAGATTTATTTTTAAAACAATGCTGGGATTGGGAGCCCTTTGCCTGTACACCTACAGATTGTTGTTATGTGCTGTCAAGTTGCCTCTGATATATAGCGACCCTTTGAATGAGCGCTCTCCAAACGGTTCTGCCCTCCACTGCCGAGCTCAGCTCTTGTAGACTCAACTCTCTGGCACTTCCTTTAGGGCAGTGGTCCCCAACCTTGGGCCTCCAGATGTTCTTGGACTACAACTCCCAGAAGCCTTCACCACCACTTGAAGCCTTCACCACCACCTCTGCTGGCCAGGATTTCTGGGAGTTGAAGTCCAAGAACATCTGGAGGCCCAAGGTTGGGGACCACTGCTTTAGGGAGTCAGCCCATCTTGTATTTGGTCTTCCTCTTTTCATGCTGCCTGAACATATGCTTCCATGTATAATCTACTTGATTATATTTAGTTTGGACTCATAAAACATCTAATTCAGATGTCAGAATTTTACTTATAGCCAACATGGTGCTTTTCAGACATTAGAAATAATTGCTTAATTGCAAATTATTTCCTTTTTTTTTTTGTTCTTACAGTAAGTAAGGCATTGCTATTCCAGCTGTAATGTAACCATGGGTCACCTCCTTTTTCAGTTCCACTGTAACTGGTTTTAGTTACTTTTGTATTTGGTCTGAGTACTTTGTTATAGTTTTGTACTGCAAGCTAGTAACTTGCATTTTAACGTGTCTTAAAAGAGTAACTGAAAATTAATCATTTTATTCTTTTTAAATAATGAAAGCACAATGGGATACTTCTTTAAAAAATGCAACTGTAAACAGTAACAAACTATTTTGCTGTGCCTTGGATTATATGTAATTAGCTTTGTAAACCAACCTTGAAGTTCTGCTTTTTGTATGTCATTTCCAAAATTCAAAACCGAACCAATGCACTTGTACCAAAATAATATTTGGATTAATTCAACCTTAGTGTTGTCAATTCTGCCTTAAACAGTAGCCTGCCTCCTCTATCTCTTTCAGCAGCCTGGCACATTAAATAAAGTTTGTAAAACTTCTGCAGCCATGGAAATAAGGGGATTGGAAAAGCTTCACCTGCTATATATCTCTATGGTACGTTTATTATTAAGGTGTAAAAAGTGTGTGTGTGTGTGTGTCTGCTGCTTACATTCAAAAGAATTTACATATGTGCAAAAAAAGCTGGTTAATGTCATTTTAAACCACAAAATCATCATAAAAAAAGGCAAGCCTCCAGCTTCTGTAGGACTCTTCTTCAGACCAAGTATTGTATTGTTTAGGGATGGGCAGAGGACACAAGAAATGCAAAAATTAACCTGGTC